TGTTGATATAAAAGTGTATATTTTATATGTTCTCAAAAATTTGTGTTTGTGTGTTGTAAAAATATGCAACTCACTTCTTAGTCTATTACTATCAAAAACACAAGTTTAAAGATAAATAAATATTTTATGAATACATATTTATATCTTAATTAATTAATCAACAAACTGGCTTGTTTAAAATTTAAATTTTTGAAGCGGAAAATATTTATTTATTGAACTATGATTTTTTCAGTGTCGTCACTTTTTTCAGTTTTTTTCCTCCTGCCTTGCTATATCCCCCCTTGATCCTATGCCATCTCATGCGTTGTCGTCGCAGTTGTTTCCATGTTGTGTCTGCCATTATTTCGTGGATTTTTGGCTGCTTTAGCATTTCACTTTGATAGTCCATGCGCTGGAGGGAAAGAGGGTAGGAAAATCGAGGGGTTTTCCGCAGACTTCGACCTCGCTTTCTCGCTTTATCTGCTGACAGTCATAAGTTTTGCTTTGCTTCCCCATTTTTATTTCATTCTACAGATACTCCCACCCAGTAACTCATCAACGCGCATATGTTCGGTTTTCTGAATTCTTTTTTTTCCTTTCTTGCTTTTTTGGTATCCACAGTCCTTTGCACTCATCGAGTAAGAAATTTATTTTTATTTGTTAGATGCCTTGGCAGCTTGACTTTTTCCTGTTGCTGTTTCCGTTTGTTGTAAATTTTAGTGGATTATCCTGCCGATTCCGTCTGCTGCTTTCTCCTCCCATTCATTCGCTGGATTTATTCAAACTTCACTAAACACAATCAATTTACGAATTATTATTATGCCTTGGAAAGTTCTTTGTGGTCCAGTGCAAGGAAAGTTTTTCGATACCCATTTATTGTAATGGTTAGATGTTTTTGGGGACGTTTAATAACTAAACTGGACTTGAATCCTTTAGCAGATAATGATTATTTAATTAACATTTTTTTTTATTTTATTAGTTCTTAAAAATATATTCATATTAGTTCATAAAATATATAACAAATAATTTTTAGATTACATGTATATTTTTACTTTATGATATTTAAAAAAGCAAGCCATTATTTTGTAGTTATTCTTCCAGACTTTTAGAATGAAGTAAATAAGCAAAGCTTAAACTCGGTTCGACCAAAAATTTGTTTATATATTTTTTATGACTAAATATTTTGTATTCCTATTCCTATATATATTTTAGATATAATCTTGTTGTTTTTTTAGTTCACAAATTAAGTAATAATAAATTGTACATAAATAAATAATAATGGGTATTTATGAGTTGATTTCCCTCACTTTCATAATTTCCCCTCTTCAACTTTTCATCATCTGGCTGCCTTTCTTTGATTTCCTTGTCGCCATTTGTTGGCGAGTCCTTTTTCGCATTTATTGCATTTGTTACGCAGGATAGACCCCCACCCCTTTTTCCTGGCTTTCTCTTCTCTCCTTACTGCTTTCTCCACCCACTGAGAGCACTTTACGCTTATGATCTGCTTAGCCTGACCGGCCCCGCCCCCTTCTATATACACTCCTTTCGGATCTGGCTCATTTGCCAGCCGCCTCTTAGCTTTATGTTTATGATTTCCATTTCCATTTCCTTTTCATGTGTGGGCGTGGCTCCCTGTAATTACCACTTAAAGTCTGCCACCCACAAAAGGAGAGAAAATAAGGAAAAACAATGGGGCTGTAATCATAATAAATAATAAATGAATGAATTTTATTGCTTAATGGATTGCAGTTACACTCGGCGGAGTTGAAGTTCTACTTTGGGTCCTCTTTCATTGGCATTAGTCACACTTTATTTATAAATTATGATACGCTTTTCGGGTTAAACGGCTTGAGGCCGGCATATTGAATTACTGAAGGGATTGGCCATAGTCATTCGAAATTAGTAGGAAATAAATAAGAGTAAAATACAGATTATAAACGATAATCATTAGAGGGTTTTTCTTTTGAAATCTGGGTACGATAATATTCCTTATTCTACACCCAGAGAAAAATGATGGTAAGTCCAAATATTTTCACTTTGTATTAAATATTTTCGGGGTGTTGTGTTTAAATCAAAGTCCGTTGATTTTAAGTATGCAAAAATTTAATTTTAAAACTAAACAAATGTTAATTTTCAATTTTTTTATTGGACAAACCAATTAAATATATTAATAATTACATTATCATGTTTTTAGTTTTATTTTAAGTAAGCTTTTATTTTGAATGTTACAATGTTACACTCAAATATTTCAATGTTTAACATTACTATGGGGCTCTTCTCTGGCTGTATAAACTAATAAATGGTTTTAAAATTGACAAGCGCCTGCCTCACTTTTTAATCTTAAGAAGTTCCTAAGCCACAAACCAATTAAATATATTAATAATTACATTATCATGTTTTTAGTTTTATTTTAAGTAAGCTTTTATTTTGAATGTTACAATGTTACACTCAAATATTTCAATGTTTAACATTACTATGGGGCTCTTCTCTGGCTGTATAAACTAATAAATGGTTTAAAAATTGACAAGCGCCTGCCTCACTTTTTAATCTTGAAAAGTTCCTATTTTAATAAGTAATTCTAATTGAAGTTATCAGTTAAGAGTCCTCTTTGATTAACGCCAATAAATAAATATATTTTAAATTATCAATATATACCAGGGAAATATAAATCTTATCTTTTCTTAGAAATTTGTAATAATTGTTAACACTATAAATGGGTAAATTTCGTGACAATTTAGTTCAGTCTTGTCAGAACCCTGTTAGAAAAATGTTGCGTCTGGGGATATTATTTTTTTTCTTATTTTCATTAACTTTGGCCAGCCACGATAGTTATTCTGCTGAAAAAATATCTAACGATGCTGCTGTGCGGTAAGTATTTTGAATGATCAATAAAAATAATAGTGTTTATATATTATACCAATATTTTTGTGATACAAAATTTATTTAATGGTTCTAAAATACACTATTTGTCCATATAGTGGTGAACAAGAACGAAAAGATTTTTGTGTGGCCAATTCATTCCCCACCAGCTGTTCCGAGTCATTGAAGAGCACCAAACTCTGGATCCGTGTGCCCGAGTACAGTGAAACCCCCTTTCAGGTGGCCTGCGATCAACGGAGTTATGATGGAGGCTGGACAATTATTCTGAGGCGAAGAGATGGAAGCGAGAACTTCTACCGGGAATGGAAGGACTACAAACACGGATTTGGCCAGCTGAACAACGAATTCTTCTTGGGCCTAGATAAAATTCATGCTATGACCTCATCAGAGCCCCATGAACTACTAGTACTCGTGACTCCCTTGGGCAGCAAGCAATCTTACGAACTATATGACGATTTTAAAGTTGGCCCCGAGAGTACCAATTACACTTTGCAATCTTTGGGCCTAGCTTCTGGAAACGCCACAGATCGTCTCACTTATCATCTGGGCATGCAGTTTAGCACTAAAGATCGGAACAATGATGTTTCCACCGGAAACTGTGCTACAAAACATGAAGGTGCTTGGTGGTACAATGAATGCTATTTCAGGTAATTAATTTTCATAAATTTCATAAATTATTGGTTCCATCATGCATAAAGAAAGATAAATGTTTTTGTCATTGGAAGCTTTTAGGGCAATAATTTAATTCTAAAGAAATTTCAACCCAATTTTTCCAGAACAGTCCCATGACACCTATATAAAATCATTAAAGAATAGTTGTCCCTATTAAGATATATTGTATTAAGAAAGTTAAGGCGTGTCAATAAGTCCTTAGAAACTTGGGGATTAATATTGTTTTGATTTGCATGATGATATTAATCAAGAGTAACTGAATGGAAAACTTTTGACTTAACCTTACTAACCTTAATATATTCTTTAATTTCTTTATACTATTTAACTACTAAAGTGTTTCGCACATATTTTACTATATGATTTTTTTGACACCAACACGATATTCTAATAAAAACATTAAGCTGCTCATTTATTTTCATTATATATCAAATCTGTTTAAGTGTTTTTCGTTAAATTGGTTTGTTTCCTTATAGCAATTTGTGTGGGAAATATGGCGATCGAACTACATCAACACTAAAATGGTATACCGATGTCCTAGGACGTGCAGTAATGATGATCAGGCCAAAAGCGTCTTCCCTTAAATGCTCTTAAGTGTGAACAATACACAAAAACCTGTAATGATATGAATTAAATTTTAATTGTACACTATGTATAGTTTTTAATATAATTTTCTGGGAAATATTTGAACAAAAATATAATAAAAATATAAAAATATTTTAAAATTTGTTCATGTAAAAATTTTTGGAATTGAAATTAATTTTCAGAAATTAATTAACTATAAATTTTCAAACAAAATTTCAATGCAGATTTTTAGAGGCTTAAGCCACAAGAGATATATGACTTTGACATCATATATTCATGCCTGAAAGAAAAGTTATGGACTTAAAACTGCAGGTTTTTGGCAATTTTTCTGCAAAGACGATTTTTTCGGAGATTAAGAAAGGGGTTACAACACAAAATTTGCAACAAATCGTCTTGAAATTACAAACCAAGTTTTAACCGCAGATTTTTAGAGAACTAAGCCACAAGACTTTTAAGACATAGCACTTTGAAATCAGATGTTTGAATGAAAAGTTATAGAATTAACACTGTAGGTTTTTGATCACTTTTCAGGAATTCTATTTTTCGGAAATTGATTAAGGAGTTATATCGTAAAAATAACAACTCTAAATTTCAGCACAAAATTTAAATGCAGAGTTTTAGAGACCTAAGCCCCAAAACTTTTAAGATACACCACTTAGAAATCGGATGCCGGAAAGAAAAGTTATGGATTTAGAACTGCAGGTTTTTGGTCAGTTTTCTGCAAAGACGTTTTTTTCGGAGATTAAGAAAGGGGTTACATCACAAAATTTGCAAAAAAATCGGCCCGAAATTACCAACCAAGAAAAGTTATGGGCTCAAAACTGCGGGTTTTTGGTCACTTTTCTGTAATGTTATTTTTCAAAAATTAATTATGGCTTAAATGCATAATGTTGAATTCAGTAGTCAGTAACAGTTTGGAATATTTCTTCGGCTCGAGTGCAGAGTATTTTCTTTCGGACTTCCTTAAAACCCCTTTTTCACCCCGCCTATAAGTTCGGCGCTCGTCGCTCGTCAGCCGAATATATGAGTATATTTTATATTATCAATATTTCGCATCTTATCTTATCGATTTATATGAATAGAAACGTTTCTTAGAAATTTGTAATAATTGTTAACACTATAAATGGGTGAATTTCATGGACAATTTTGTTCAGTCTTGTCAGAACCCTGTTCAAAAAATGTTGCGCTTGGGAATATTATTTTTATACCCTTGCAGAGGGTATTATAATTTCAGTCAGAAGTTTGCAACGCAGTGAAGGAGACATCTCCGACCCTATAAAGTATATATATTCTTGATCAGCATCACTAGGCGAGTCGATCTAGCCATGTCCGTCTGTCCGTCCGTCTGTCCGTCTGTCCGTCTGTCCGTCTGTCCGTCCGTTTATATGCAAACTAGTCTCTCAGTTTTAAAGCTATCTGCATGAAACTTTCCCAAAAGTTGTCTTTCTATTGCAGGTAGTATATAAGTCGGAACGAGCCGGATCGGACGACTATAGCATATAGCTCCCATAGGAACAATCGGAAAAATAAAGGAAAAAAATTATAACTTTGCTGTTTTTTAATTTTTTGTTTAGTTCTTCGACATTTAGTAATGGTTAAATATTTCCGATTTACGGTTTAAATTTCATCAAAATCGGACGACTATAGCATATAGCTCCCATAGGAACAATCGGAAAAATAAATGAAAAAAAATTATAACTTTTCTGTTTTTTAATGTTTTGTTTAGTTCTTCGACATTTAATAATGGTTAAATATTTTCGATTTACGGTTTAAATTTCATCAAAGTCGGACGACTATATCATATAGCTCCCATAGGAACAATCGGAGAAATAAATGAAAAAAAATTATAACTTTTCTGTTTTTTAATTTTTTGTTTAGTTCTTCGACATATGGCAATGTTTAATTATTTCAGAATTATGGTTTAAATTTTATCAAAATCGGACGTCTATATCATATAGCTCCCATAGAACTAATAAAAATATATAAAATAACTATCTCATAATTGAGCGGCAAATCATCATAGCTTCACTGTTTTTCAGTATATACTGAAGTAAATCATAATTTAAATGTTTTCAAAAGTATTTAATTCATGCAATAGCTGCAAGGGTATATGAACTTCGGCTTGCCGAAGTTTGCTTTCTTTCTTGTTCTTTTTAATTTCGATAGCTTCGGCCAGCCAAGATAGTAATTCGTCTGAAAAAATATCTAACGACGCTGCTGTGCGGTAAGTATTTATGTTTAAAATAGTAGTATTTATATATAATCCCAATATTTTTCTGATAAAAAAATGTATTTAATGATATGTCTTTATAGTGGTGAACAAGAACGAAAAGATTTTTGTGTGGCCAATTCGTTCCCCACCAGCTGTTCCGAGTCATTGAAGAGCACCAAACTCTGGATCCGTGTGCCCGAGTACAGTGAAACCCCCTTTCAGGTGGCCTGCGATCAACGGAGTTATGATGGAGGCTGGACAATTATTCTGAGGCGAAGCGATGGAAGCGAGAACTTCTACCGCGAATGGAAGGACTACAAACACGGATTTGGCCAGCTGAACAACGAATTCTTCTTGGGCCTAGATAAAATTCATGCTATGACCTCATCAGAGCCCCATGAACTACTAGTACTCGTGACTTCCTTGGGCAGCAAGCAATCTTACGAACTATATGACGATTTTAAAGTTGGCCCCGAGAGTACCAATTACACTTTGCAATCTTTGGGCTTAGATTCTGGAAACGCCGGTGATGGTCTCGCTTATCATCTGGGCATGCAGTTTAGCACTAAGGATCGGAAGAATGATGTTTCCAACGTAAACTGTGCTTCAAGATATGAAGGTGCTTGGTGGTACAATGATTGCCATGAGAGGTAATTAGTTTTCATAAATTTCATAAATTATTGGTTCCATTAGGCATAAAGAACGATAAATGTTTTTGTCATTGGAAGCTTTTAGGACAATAATGAATTTCTAAAGAAATTTCTTTCAACCCAGAACAGTCCCATGACACCTATTTAAAATCATTAAAGAATTGTTGTCCCGATTAAGATATATTGTATTAAGAAAGTTAAGGTGTGTCGATAAGTCCTAAGAAACTTGTTTTGATTTGCATGATGATATTAATCAAGAGTAACTGAATGGCAAACTTTTGACTTAACCTTACTTAATATAAATGTTAATTTCTTTATACTATCTAAATTACTTATGTGTTTCACACAACACGATCTTCTAATGAAAACATTAAGCTGCTCATTTATTTTCATTATATATCAAATCTTTCTAACTACCGTCCTTTTAATTGGATTTTTCTTTTTAGCAATTTGTGTGGCAAATATGGCGATCTGAGGACATCAACACTAAAATGGTTAAGTGATGTCCTAAGACGTGCAGTAATGATGATCAGGCCAAAAGCGTCTTCCCTTAAATGCTCTTAAGTGTGCACAATAGACAAAAACTTGTAATGTTATAAAATACATTTTAATTGTACACTAGGTATTGTTTTTAATATCATTTTCTGTGAAATATTTGAACAAAAGAATTATGTTACACTGGTAAAAAAAACGAAGCAAATCCAAATATTTTTTTTCTCAATTTAGATAATTTTTGTTCCTTTGACTTTCGTTACGTCCGGTTTTTTGTTATTTTAAATATAATAAATATATAAAAATATTTTAAATTTTGTTCATTCGAAAATTTTGGGAATTGAAATTATTTTCAGAAATAAATTATTTATCGTAAAAATAACAACTCAAAATTTAAAAACAAAATTTAAATGCACAATTTTAGAGACCTAAACTACAAGACTTTAAAGATATACCACTTTAAAATCGGAGGCCTAAAAGCAAAGTTATGGATTTAGAACTGCAGGTTTTTGGTCACTTTTCTGCAAAGTCGATTTTTTCGGAAATTAAGAAAGGGGTTACATCATAAAAATTGCAAAAAATCGACCCGAAATTACAAACCAAGTTTTAAATGCAGTTTTTTAGAGCACTTAGCCACAAGACTTTTAAGACATGCCACTTCGAAATCTGATGCTTAAAAGAAAAGTTATAGAATTAACAATGTAGGTTTTTGGTCACTTTTCAGGGATTCTATTTTTCGGAAGTTGATTAAGGATATATAGCGTAAAAATAACCTTTCAAAATTAAAAAAAAGAAATTTAATGTAGAATTGTAGAGACCTAAGCTACAAGACCTTCAAGGTATACCATTTTAAAATCGGAGGCCGGAAAGAAAAGTTATGAACTTAGAACTCCAGGTTTTTGGTCACTTTTCTGTAATGCTATTTTTCAGAACTAAATTAAGGGAAATAAGAGTATTTTCTGTCGGACTTCCTTTAAACCCTTTTTCACCCCGCCTGTAAGTTTATTTCGATGTGTTTCGGTGGTGAGCACACGACAATTTTGGGGGACTAACCATTCCACTTTCGTCGCTCGTCAGCCGTGCCGCCCAGAATTTGAGTTATAATGATTCATTGCCTATTAGCAGTTAATTAGACTTAAAAGGGGCTTATACTTTTGCCCGGGCTAATGAAAAACTATTGGAGACAGGGCCAAGTCGGCTTTGAACTCGTTGCGAGCCATTACGAGAATATCCGACCAAGCGGTTACTACTGCAATTAGGTGAGGCCCAAAATCTTGGCCAGAATTTCGGTCATGGCCCATTGAGGCAATTACCAAATTTGGTTTTCGGGGGGGCAGGGATTAATACTCGAGCGAGGACCGTAAATAACTAATATCTGTTTATGATTATTGCAGTCTGTGCCACTCAATTGGATTAGAATTTCGCATTTACCATTTCGCAATGTCGTCTGTCTGGGTTTCTTCTGTTTCTTTTTTTTTGTACTTGCTTTTGGGAAAGAGAGAGTTGTCGTTGCTTTTTATGTCTAGCTAACGTGGTCGTTGTCGTGGCCATTAGGCCAATATTGATATGGTCTATGGGTATTATTTAAGCCCAACCCCCACGATTTGCTTGAGGTGTCATGTTGGCTTAAATGCCCGGGGACCAGGAAATCCTTGACATGCCGCTCTGGCAGTTGATGTTTACGATAAATGCCTGTCTATCCGTATTTGAAGCCTTTCCTCTAATGCGCTCTAAATATTTTTTTTAAGCCTTACCCCCAAATGGAAGCGCTTCAAGCTTTGCGACATCGAAAAATCCGTTTAGAAATAAACTTATGTTTTGGCTTCTGGGGCGTTTCCCCCAGTCGAAGGTTTTGGGATAAGGTAAAGGATTGAAAGCCGAAGGGATCACCGTGTAGGCATCGTCTCAATTGCTTGCCAGGCACGTTTCTAAATTCAACCAAATTGACAAACAAAAACCCTTCGCTTAACTGCACATAGGAAAATATATACACTTAATTCTTCAACACCTTAAACTTGAATGTTAAACATTATACTGGCATTGGTGGCACAAATGTGTAAATTGTTAAAAAAAAAAACAACATACTTAGTTCTTTAACAATTAAAAACAAATTATTCATTGTAATAAATTCAACTTGAATGTCAAACGGAATAAATATGGTGTCACAAATGTGTACATATTTTTTAAGAAATAATAACACGAATCTATATCACTTATATACAACGAAAAATATCTTCAGGTCTATGTTATAAAATATGTATTTTGAGGAAAATATCCATATATTTTTAATATCAAAAGTTTCAGAATAGTTTTATATCAACATAAAATCTATCGACTAATGTTTATGTCACTGAAAATTTGTATACAAAAAAATATGTAAAGATTTTTACTGCCCATTATTCCTTTTCACACTGAAATATTCTTTGAATCAAACTTAAACTTTCAATCAAAATTAAATATTTTTTTAACTTAACTTAAGCTAAATATTGAATTTCTTAAACTCATCCTTTTTTTTGTGAGTGCAACCAAAATCAGTTTCATCAAATGCTTGTATTTTGGGGAAAAGCATTTAAGGTGAAGCGAAACACCAGAGTCAAACGCAATTTCCAACAAATATGGATTGGATTCACTTACAGGCAATGCCCGCCCACAAATTGGCTGCCAGGGGCTTAGAAAAGGGGGTTGCATTATCGGAGATTGAGCAGGGGAGGCATGGATCATTGCCCTGTCGCCGGCTTTCTAATTGACTTTGCCTGCTTTAATGCTTTTTAGCCATGTTTAAGCGTCATCATATTAACGGCCCAAATACACACACACGAAACTCAGCCGCCGTTCTACACACACACATTTGCGTTTTAACGCTAGTAAACACAGGAACAACAATTAAATTTGGTTTATACAATTTTAAGGGTTTCTTTCTACCTAATAGCTAAAAAAAGTTTTCATTTTGAGAACAATTTTACATTAATGAACTTAATTAAAATAAAAAAGTTTACACAAATACTTAAATAAATAGAAAAAAAATTAATATGAAAATTTGATGACCATAAGGATGTAAAATACAGAACATCATAAGGCCAACAAAAATTATCTGCTTGGATTTTCCAAAGTTACCAATTTCTAGGGTATGTCCACTGCATTTCAATTCGCTTCGTTCAATTTGTCTGTTTAGTTTTTCAATTCAATTAAATGCGTTCCACATTTTGGGCTCAATTGTTGTATACACGCACACACTGGCCACAGAAAAATCGCGGGTCTCGTTCCATTTTCATTGCCCACACTTTTGGGCCCGGTCAACTGCATAGTTAAGTAGCCAAAGCGATGAACACGAAACGGCAATACACAGGAAAAAACTTAATGACTTATGGAAATATATCGATAGCATATATATAAATATCATTGATTTAACGCCAATATTTACAGATGGCTATACATATTTTTCCAACTTTTCAATTAATCTATGGTCGGGATATGATTTCGATTGCTTATCGAATTTATCGATTTAACAGTGTGTCTCTTCTATTGCAGCTGCTGTCGCCGTTGTTGTTTGGTTTTCTGGTTTGGTTCGTTGCGAAAACTTTGTTAACTTTGGACTGAGTCCGCCCCCACGCCCGTATTTGTCTGGTTCTCCTACGCCACCCACCGCACACTCTTCTCCCCCGTTCACCCACTCGACTCGGTTGACAATATTTGCCAAAACATTTGTTGTTGCTGCTGGGGGATTGAGTCAATTGAATTTAAGTGGCTGCAACGGCAACGAAGTCAATGACATCGTCCGGCCACTTTTGCGGTCCTCAAATATGTTGCATAGTTATTGGCCAACTCAACTAACGCTTTTGGCCTCGTATTTCTCGTATTTTGGATTTAGGTTCGCTGCTCTGTTTTCTTTTTTTTTTAGCAAGGCATCATCAATTTTCATTGTAACGCGATTAGTTTGCAGGGGACTGGAAACGGATATGAGACAGCGCGAGGCTAACTTCATTTTTCGGACCGAAAACGCTGATGACCATAAATGCCAAAAGCAGCAGAGCAATCCCCACGCCAGGGATTTTATAAATGATGAGTACAGTCGAAATAAAATAATCACAACAAAATTTGACAGTAAATACCGAGCAGCAACTTAACCCAAAATAACCTTAAATATGGCTACGTTTTAAAGGAACGGTCACACTGAGGGAGTCACTGCACTTTTAAAACAAGTAAAAAGAAAAATATTTATCCTATATATGTATTAACATTTTAGTATTAAAAAGAATAGGGAAATGAAGTTGTTATTTTTAATACATAATTTTACAGCTTTGAAATCATTTTTTTTTTGGTGTACAATGCCTTGCTCCTCATTCTCTAGCTGATATTCTCTACCGAAAAATTCCAGGCATCTGCGTTATGTTCACGGCGTATCATTTTTCTATGGGCCATGTGTAATTTATGCTCCATTTGTTGGCCGCCTCTCTTGTTGCTTTACTTTCACATTTTTTCGCCTATTTATTGTGTGGCTATTTCTATATAATCTCTACGGTCTTCTATTGTTTGCTTTTTGGGGGAAAAAGGAGCCTGCGAGGGGAAAGGGGCCTGGGACCATGATAGACACATGCTCTTTTGATTTATGAATGCAAACGAGCTACAGAACACCAATAAAAGCAACACAATCAACACAGGCGAAAAAAATCATTCATTTCCATCTATTGAAATAGAAATCATTCGGCCGCCACACGCACTTAAAGCAATTAGTCTAAAAGTGTTCTACCTTTAATTTCATTGGACCCAGGCAATAACAAAAAAAAACAATGAAAAGTCCACCCAGCTCTCCGGAAAAAATACCCTGGAATCGTTACAAGGCAATTGGTAAAGTTGGTTTAAATAAGTTGGCTTTAAAAAAGTTAAATTAATTTTTAAATACTGAGTAATTTCAAATTATATTATGGTTAAAAGAAGACTTAATAATATTTTTAAAACATAATTTGGTTTTTCTAGATAAGAATATGTAAAAATTGTTATTTATTGGATCAAATTGCTTTTCAATAATTATTATTTTAGGAATCTAACTAGATTATGGATAATAAGTAATGGTTAAAATTTAATCCAAAAGGGCATGAGTAATTTATACTTAATTTTGACTTTAGAAATAAATGATCAACAAAAATGAACAAATTACAGGATAACAAGGTGGTTTTATCAAAATTTTGATTACACTTAACAACATTGCTGCTATTGCATTTCGGGGCATAAGTGCAACTCAATCAGTCGGTGGTCGAGTGCTCCAAGTCAAGCCGTTGCGCAGTTCTAATGAAGCAATTTTCGTTAAAAGCAGTCACCACAGCAGCTTTTCTTCTCATTTCCCCCCCACCCCTCGCTTATCACTTTTCCAGCCCCAACTAGTAGTATGTGGGGATTCGTTTTCAACATTTTTAGCTGCTTCGGCGCGTGTTTGTTTCAAAAAGCTCAAATTGCGAGTAGTGCCAGGAACAAAATCCCGTCCAGAGGCCAAAGAAAAGGAATTACAGCTGACTCTGGCACTGACTTTTCGCAATTATCCAGCGCACCAAATGCGCCCGGAAAATCCCCCACACACCCACCTCTCGGAAAACTTCACCGCCACCCGAAATTCTTGGCTACGTGCGAATTTATTGATAGCGATATTTCGTTGGAGGATTCGGGGATTCGGGGGCTGGAAATGTGTGCTAAGTGCATTTTACATTTCCGGTCAATGGCGCTAACCTCACGAAATCTCCAGGACTAACTCTTCTGCACAGCGAGAAAAAAGTGTATATATTAATAATATCAAATAACTTTAACAAAAAAAAAATTATAAAAGTAATCACATCTTTAATTAATAAATAAGTAAGTAACTTTGTATATATGTTAAGATCCAAAAACAAAAATATTTAAAATAATTTAACAGTATTTATATAAGGAAATTCTGTTCGTATTAGTAAGATGAATATTGAATGATTCATCTATCATAAGTTTTTATTTATTTAGGCTAACAAAATAAATATATAATAATAGTTGTTGTTTAGATTATTATTTAATTTTTCTTTATTCCCGACATTGCTATCATACATTTTTTAAAAGAACATCTTTTATTTATAGAATCTTTTTTGCTTGCCTAATAAAAAAAAGGCAAAAATAGAAAAAAAAGCTATTTCGCAAATCGGTTTGTTTTAATTTCGCTGTTTGATTTCTAAAATAGCCGCTATTTCCCTTTTTTAACGCATGTTTCGTGGCAATCAAAGGCCATTCTCTGGCTAATTAAATAAAATATATTTAAACTTTGAAACGTTTTATAACCTATAAAAGGTGCCAGCGATTAAATTGAAATCAGTTCACTTTCAACATTCGCCTTTCGCAGTTGTGCGCTTTTAAAATGTTTTCGATCGGAATTTATATATTGTTCGCTTTTTTCGCATGCAGTCTAGCTGAGACACAGGAAAATTCCAGTTCAGTTTGCATCCTAAAAGATGCCCCAACTCAATGTGGCGCATTTTGTCTAGCTGCCCAGATACCACTCTTCGATCACAATAACAATGTTCAACAGCAGTTAAATGACCTAGCTGTACTCCTTAATGAAACTCAGAAGAAACTGGACAGGTTTGAGACAAAATTGGATAGCAAAATGGATGAAATACGAGTGCCAAAAGTTTCGGAAACGGCAGTCATCCCTTCAGGATTTGAAAAGATTGGATCAAGATATTTTTATATTGCAAGATTTGAATTGAAATGGATTGATGCCGTAATGGCCTGTCGACTAATAGGAGGCTATCTCGCGGCCTTCCAAAACGAGGAAGAATTTATAGGCATACAAAGAAAACTCGCATATCGGTGGTACTGGCTGGGTATCAATGAAATCTTCGTAGAAGGCCAATTTTTTTCTGTGGCCTCCGGCAAGCCAGCAACTATTTTTAAATGGGCTAATGGATATCCTGACAATGGTTATGGCAAGGAGGACTGCATAGCCATGCAAAATGACTATATGGATGATGGCTTGTGTGATAATAAACATTATTTTATTTGCCAATTAGACAATATAGTTTAGCTAAAACGGAAACTATACAAATATAAAACTAAAATCTTAATATCGCGATATTTCTATTTTACTTCTACTTTCTTAAAATGTTTCAGTTCAGATCTTTTTGATGAATAATTGAATTGAATGAATTGAATTCCAATAATAATATCTCAATGCGTCAAATAACAAACAAAATAAAGCCAAAAATTATTTGTGTGCTCACATTCGCAATTCTAATTGTTCGAAAAAAAAAAACCGTGTGGCCTATTAAAGTTGACTTTGACCTTTGAGTTCTTTGGGTCTCTGAATAATAAATTTTTGGCACACAACGCATAGCATGTGTTTGAATAATATATTTTCGACCAAATGGGTTCTTTGATTGTCAGGGAATTTAATTAACTTTAGTTTATTGGCAACATTCGCCATTCGCAGTTCTACGCTCGCAAAATGTTCAAGATCGGAACTTATTTTTTGTACGCCTTTGTGGCCTGCAATCTGTGCGGAATAGCTAAGGGTGAAAATAATACGGATTCAGTTTGTATCCTGAAGGATGCCCCAACTCAATGTGGTGCATTTTGTCTCGATGCTCAGAGGCCAATTATTGAAAAATTAAATTTTCTTGCTAAATTACTTAATAACACTCAGGAGAAGGTGGATAGAATTCTAAATGCAACCCAGGAGAGACTGGAAAAAGTGGATTTTATTATCCACAATTTAGAAACAAAACCAATAGAAGTGGCAACGTCAAACATACCGCAAGGATTTGAGCAGATTGGATCGAGATATTTTTATATTGAAAACAATATTAAACTAAATTGGGCTGATGCTAAAACTGCCTGCCGTCAAAAGGGAGCTTATCTGGCGGCCTTCGATAACCTGCAAGAATTTAGCGCCATCCAAACGAAACTTCAGGCTCATTGGTACTGGCTGGGCATCAATGAAATCGCCAAAGAAGGCGAATTTGTATCTGTGGCCTCTGGCAAGCCGGCAACTATATTCAAGTGGCATTTTGGGCAGCCCGACAATGATCAGGGCAGAGAGGACTGTGTGGCCATGTACTACAGCTCTATGGATGATGGCTTGTGTGATAATAAAAACTATTTTATTTGTCAACTAGACAATGAAGTTTAGTAAAAACACAGAATACTACGAATACACAACTAAATTCTTGGTGATGGATCTCTCTACTTATAAAAATATATCATTAAATAAAACAACTGTAATTAAAAATTAAAAATGTTTTATATAATTCAGCTTGTGAACTTTTAGAATGTGACGTGAATTATTATACAAATCAAACTATTTTAATGTTTCAATAAATGATTAAAAAATGATTTTAAAATGTGACACTGTGTTATTCCGGGTTTTTCAAAGGTTTTTTAAAATTTTAAATTTTCTAAAACTGAAAATTTAGTTTTATAGGAAGTGCATAGAGTTTTTATAAGTGTTTCCTCACAATTACTTCGACTCCCTTTAGTCTGATTACATTTCGTATTATATTCGAACAGTTTTCGCTTTGGCTTTCATTTGCTTTTCATTTGCCATTTGCGTCACGCTTTCCATTGACCCCCGCTTTTCCGCTTTTCCCCTTTTGGGGGCAGGCTATTGAGACCTCAACGATCCTGGTACGTGTCCGGGCACCCAAGGGTTAAGGGCGAATAAAAGCACACGAAAGAGACTCTGCAAAGTGTCGACACATTCGAACTTTTGCTGCCCTTCTTCTATTTTCTATCTTTTTTTTTTGTATTTTTACCCCCCTGCAATTGCTGCGTAATTTTTATTAGCTTTGATGGAGCATCTCAAGTGGCGCTCTATTTATCTTGGAAAACCCCAAGCTCATTTCCAAATTGCCAACATAAATTTATTTGTTTGGCAAAACAATTCCGTCCTAAACACCACCTCCCGCATCAATTTGATGCGTGTCTCGTTTTACATTTTTTGACAATTTCATTGTTCCGTGGCTGCCTTTTATTTTGAATGATAATTTTTGGCGCGTGTGGAAAAAAGGGAGTGCGTGGCAGCAATGCTTTTATGCCTAAATAACAAGCCATAAACATTTGCCGTCGCCATTTGCCCATTTTCGCGCGAGCATTTTAAAAAAGACAACAAAAACGGAGTAACAAATAAAGAGTGATAAAGAATTTTATTGCTCACACGCAAGATGCACAGAAAAAATGTTAGATACTATAGATACAAATATATATTGTTGAGAAATAAATATAAATCTGTTAATTATGCAATAAAGCAATTTGTATTTCTATAGTTTGGATTACAAGTAAAGTTCATTGGGTTTTGTAATAGTTCAAAAGTTTTCCTCTCGTATTACTTTTTCTTTCAGTGTTCAAACAAACAAATAAAGCAAATGGCATCGTCGCATTAGGACGCGACTACAAATATCCGGCAGTTTTATATTTTGATTGTTTGCCTGCCTCAGGTATTTTCAGTGTTTTGGGACTTTGATTAGTTGACACATTTTATGTGTCATTCCCAGGCAACAAAAGGGTTATTTAAATCCCAACTGAATCCCACATCTCAAACTGTTGGCTAAATATAAAAGTGACTGACAAAGCTGTTTGGTTGGATGTAGCTATGGATACATTTTTACCTTTGGAAAAAATATATCATTTGAGCCTGTGATATTGATGTATAAAATATTGGAACGTGGTTTAAACTAGTCAGAGTGCCAGCAAAATATATTATTTTAAAGTAACAAAACTAAAACAATGTTGTTAATCATTTATATTAATTTTTTTATTATAGTTCTTCAAAAGTTTAAGTATGATTACAAAATTTATTTATAACAACATAAGATAACCTTGAAAATAATGAGTTATTTTAATATTAGCTTGAAGTTATTGTAATAAATATTTATATTGAAAAAGTATTTAGGTAAATAAATAATGTTATATATTTCTAAAAAATCTTTGATTTTACTTTAAAAGAGTAATACTACAGCCACTAATTCATCAAGTATTTTACACTACCAATTAACCTTTAGAAACCAATTCACATACAATTGGTTAGTTGCACTCGATATGGAGTAAATGCTGCTTCTGGTCGAATTTTCAAGTATTTTGTTGGGTTAAGTTTTGGTCAAAGCGAAACTGAAGCTGCTGCTCCAGTTGGCCGAGGAGCTCACCATAAATTAAGCATATATATATGTGCTCAACTATAGTTATCCCCCAAACATAGATGCCAGCACACACAATTCACTTTGAGCAGAGGGTGGAACATGTCTGACCAAACATTTTGTATAGGACAATTTCTAAATGGAATTTAATTTCCGGATTAGAATAGACATTTCATGCATGCTGTGTAGGGGGAGGAGTAATGCACTTGACTCACTGGTCGCCTTGACTGGATTTCTACCACTTTTCCCTTTCCTAGCATTTAATTTCCCAGATTTCACATAAAAAAATTTTTTTTTTCTTATTTCAAGTTAATTTTTAAAAGGCAAATAGAGCTTCAAAACGTGTGTCTATATTTGAGTCCTTTGTTTTAAGCTATAAGTTAAATTAGTCCATAAATAAGGTTTAAGAGAATTGACAAATTCATTTAAAAATATTATTTTATACACAAAAAGTTAAATTTGAAGTTTAAACTTAGAATTAACTTTGCCTAGAAAATACGTTTAAGTTAAATAATTAGTTTGTATAAATATTTAAGATATTTAAAAAGTTTTCAAATTTATTTAAGTTTTTTGGGGACTATTTTAAATTATATTTTTAGGATGTAGCTAAAAAGAAGTTATTTAAGTTAAAAAATATTTGTTTTAAGTGCAGTATTCATTTAGGCTTCTTCTTTTTAGATTCCTCAATGCCTCAATGAACAATCACAACAAAAGGTGGTTGTGTGTGTGTTTGTGTGCCAAAGAGGCGGTAACTGGTGGGCGTGGATAGTAAAATGTTCCTAAATTTGCGGCTTTACCACCGGCTTCTTTTTCTCCACCTGCTGTTTTTGGCCTTTAGGTTTTTGTTTAAAATTTCCAAACAATTTTCCCCAACAGATTTGATGAGTTGAGTGGAGAGTGGAGGGATGGTTCATGATTGGCCGTGTGAGATGGGGGGAAAATCGAAGGCGAAAATGGGGAAAATCATCCACCTCTGTGGGCTTGATTTATGCCCAACTCGAGTTATTAATGTAATTTGATTTTGCCAACAGCAACTGAAGCAGACAAAAGCCAATGATGTTTTGGGGACTCTGACTTTGCCTTCTCAAAATGATGATGATAATGACGATGATGAGCTGACAATGCAGAACAGCAGCTAGTCAAGGGTTAAGGACGAACGAGAGATGGCTCACTTTATGGAGAAGTAAATTTTTTAATAGAGTGTAAATTACCGGAAACACAATTAAAAATGTTCCAGGCTAAAATATCTGAAAAGTGTAGACAAAAGCTTACCAAAACAAAGGCCAAAATCAAAAAAGAGGAAGGCAAAGGGTTGGGAATTGGAATAGACGCAAAGGGTTGGAGTTTAATTAATGGTTTAAGGCTGGTAGGAAATCATTTTGGAGCTAACTACAGGTTCCTCAATCGTCAAGAAACCGAGGTAAGCAAGGGGTTAAGTGCCTCAGCTACTTAACACCCCCTTAAATTCACCCCCCTTAATCGTTTTCGGAATTTTCCAAGACGCTAAACGGTCGACAATGACGTTGAAGTTGGCCTAGGGCAGGCAAAAATTGTAGGAAACACCTTGTTTTTTGACTGCCTCCAAGGCACACCCTTCCATATTTTCCGACACGTTTCGAAATCCCCGCCTAAACGCTTTTCCACCCACGGCTATTGTTGTTGCCCCGTACATAATATGTCCATTGTTCATAAAACAACAGCGAAAACAGGTCGCCGGTGTCTGATGAAGCGAATGTTTAAAGGAAAACATTAGGTCTGTGCAGGAAAGATGTTAAGGTTGTTGGAAGAGTGGGTTAATAGTTTGCATGGCCATAGTTTGCATTTATAGGTTCTCTTAAGTTTAAGTAAGGGCTTTTAAAGGCAATAATACCTATAAAAACCTTAAAGGCATGAAAAAACCTTAAAGGCATGAAAAAAAACTTAAAAAAACATTTAATTATAAGGCTTCAAACAAACATAAATGTAAACTAATATTTAAATTAGCTCCTAAAGTCATACTCAACCCTTCGCAGTTTAGTCTAAGCTAAACAATAGCAACTAAAGCCAACTTTATTTATATTTTTCAACAAAATATATTTAGTCTACGGGTGTTGCAGCCTTTGTTTTCAAAATGAATGAATGAATGAGTCAGGAAATGAATGAGTGACCCAAGCAGGGAAAATAGAAATAGACAAAGACGACTATTGGAGGGGAGAAAGAGAGGCAGCGAGCGAGTAAACGGGCAAGTTTAATATGAATTATTATGTGCAGAAAAGTTTTATGATGCTGCTAAACCTGGCTAAAGACCTTTGTTGAGGTGGCAGCCAGGCACACACAACGGAATAAAATTAGTTTTCAATCTAAAGATTAAATACCCTTTAGGCTGCCAAGAATTATCAGTATGTATTGCGATTATTTATTTATTTATTTTATATCTTAGCACTACAAGTCAATATTACGCTTCGCAAATTTTGGTCACTTTCAAAGTATTCTTAGAATTTCAAAAAAAATAAAAAAATTAATTTTAAAGTTTAATCTGCAACTATAATCTAATTTTTATTTCATTTTTAAGGTCAACACATTTAAGTTGGTGACAAACCCCTGCTGAAAATCAACACAGTTTTCTATAAATTAGAGTAATCCTGGCGAACAACTTAGTTAGGACTTAACCTGCCCCGTGTATCTGTTAGATACAATTTGTTTTAATTGCACAAAGTAGTTGGCAACCCTGGTTTGCAGCAGCAGCGGGCCAATTAATTCTCATTTAACTGGGTCTCACCTGGGATTTTCGGCCAGTGACAACTTTCCGGTTGTGCCGCTATGTTTCTTAAACGATCTTTATTATATTTATTTCTTGGATAAAGGAGGGGAGTCCCATTTGCATTGTAACATTAACTATTCTGCAAATGCTTCTTAACATAATTGTTCTATAAAGTAAACTTTTTCTTTGTTTAATCATTTAACGTGCAAAAAAATGGTTACACATTTATATGAATTGTAAGTTAGACTTAAAATTTAAATAAAACTAGAAATACTTTGTGTGCTACTTTAAACATCCACTCCACAATTTGGCTAAAATACTATATTTTTCAATTTCGTTCAGAGTTTCATAGATTTTGCAATGTTCTTTAGGGAGCTTTTATTGTATTTTTTTTTTTTTTTATAAATTTAGCAAAGATTTCAGTTTATTCTCCTATTTTAGTTGGCGGCCACAGCCTGATCGTACTTCGGTGGCAGGGAGGACATCATCTGCGGTTGCTGCTGGGCCTGCCAGTTTGTCGCACATTGGGCAGGCATCACTGTGGTGGTGGTGTTTGGCATTTGCACCTGTGTTGCTGGGACAGACACCACAATGTTGTTTCGGGACATCATGCGACGACATCTGCGGCAAGGACGACCCCAAGCCAAAGGATTGGCGTAGTACAAAAGCCCTCTACGATGGTAGCACTCGCACTGGACATTGATATTGACATTATTAACACTGCTCATATTGCCAAGAATTTTTGCGGTCTTGTTTGGTTCTGCTTTCTATGACTTCTCTGCGTTTACTGGCCAATTTCGAGGCGTACTTTATTATATATATATTATTTTGCTGGTTCCGAGGTTAGACATTGAATGCGATAAGGAAATCCTCTTTAACTTTTATCAGCACATTGATCGATCAACGTTTCTGGCACCACTTAGTGATTCAATTTTTCCAGGGATGGTCGATTGTATTAGAATGTATATAATGTTTGGCTTAGTTTGCTGATTCATAAGACTCTGCATAACTGGGGGTTGCCTTGGCATCAACTGTGGTCTATGAATCACTATGGGTCAATATGAACTCGAAATCTATAGAAAGGTGTTAAGGTAGATCAAAATCAAGTACTCCAGTCGTGAACTCTTAGGACTGATGCACTTGTTCGCTTTTTGTATTTATAACGTGAGATTGATTAGAAGACAAAACTGTTCACATTTTTGTTTTCAATGTCGACCATTTTTTAGTATATATATATTACCACTTTAAAATCGGATGCCTGAAAGCAAAGTTATGAACTTAGAACTGCAGGTGTTTGGTCACTTTTCTTTTGCAAAAATTGCGAAACATCGAACCGAAATTACAAACTTAGTTTTAAACGCAGATTTTTAGAGCACTAAGCCACAAGACTTTAAAGACATACCACTTCGAGATTGGATGCTTAAAAGAAAAGTTATAGAATTAACTGTGAAGGTTTTGGTAACTTTTCTGGAATTCTATTTTTGGGAAATTGATTAAGGAGTCTTATTTTAAAAACAACCACTCAAAATTTCAACACAAAATTTAAATGCAGAGTTTTAGAGACCTAAGCTACAAAACTTTTAAGATACACCACTTAGAAATCGGATGCCGGAAAGAAAAGTTATGGATTTAGAACTGCAGGTTTTTGGTCACTTTTCTGCAAAGTCGATTTTTTCGCAAATTAAGAAAGGGGTAACATCATAAAAATTGCAAAAAATCGACCCGAAATTACAAAACGAGTTTTAAACGCAGATTTTTAGAGAATTAAGGCACAAGACTTTTAAGACATGCCACTTCGAAATCTGATGCTTGAAAGAAAAGTTATAGAATTAACACTGTAGGTTTTTGGTGAATTTTTGGAATGATATTTTTTGGAAATTAATTTCGTAAAAATAAAAACTCTATATTTCAAAACAAAATTTAAATGCAGATTCTTAGAGACTAAAGTCACAAGTCTTTAAAGTTAAACCTTATCGAAATCGGAGGCCGGAAAGAAAAGTTATCGATTTAGAACTGCAGGTTTTTGGACACTTTTCTGCAAAGACGATTTTTTTGGAAATTTAGAAAGGGGTAACATCATAAAAATTGAGAAAAATCGACCCGAAATTACGAACCAAGTTTTAAATGCAGTTTTTTAGAGCACTTAGCCACAAGACTTTTAAGACATGCCACTTCGAAATCTAATGCTTGAAAGAAAAGTTATAGAATTAACACTGTAAGTTTTTGGTCACTTTTCAGGGATTCTATTTTTCGGAAATTGATTAAGGAGATGCATCGTAAAAATAACAACTCAAAATTTCAAAACAAAATTTAAATGCAGAATTTTAGAGGCCTAAACTACAAGACTTTAAAGGTATACCACTTTGAAATCGGAGGCCATGAAGAAAAGTTATGGATTTAGAACTGCAGGTTTTTGGACACTTTTCTGCAAAGACGATTTTTTTGGAAATTTAGAAAGGGGTTACCATCATAAACCAAGTTTTAAATGCAGTTTTTCAGAGCACTAAGCCACAAGACTTTTAAGACATGCCACTTCGATACATGATGCTTGAAAGAAGAGTTAAAGAATTAAGAGCGTAAGTTTTTGGTCTATTTTTCGGAATTTGGATAAGGAGTTAAATCATAAAAATGAAAAAAATAAAACAGGTCTATTTTAATCTTAATAATTAAAAACCGTCCGATTTTATGAGCATCGAAAAATGTTCTTTATCTACAATTAAAAACAACGAGTTTTGAAGTTGTGCTTTATTTATATACTTTAATTGATTAAGGCGACTGCAAACTTCTTCGGATTGCAACATCCTGTGAACCTTCTGGTTTAGTAGGTAGAAACCGTGACGGGGATTGTGGTTGTGGTGGTGGTGGCGGTGGCGGTGATGGTGGGGTTAGTGGTGGCAACAGGAACTCCGACCTGGGTGGGCACCACCACAACGTTCTTGGACATCATCCTGCGGCATTGACGGCAAGGACGTCCCCAGGCCAAAGGATTTGCGTAGTAGAGGACTCCTCGGGGATGGGAGCACTCGGCGCACTGGAGGTTGATATTAACATCACCCATAGTTCCTCGGTTTCCTTGGGTCTTTTTTCTTGAGCTTTTTCTGCTAGACTGCGTTTCAATTTGCCATCCACCGTTTACTTATTCCTTTTATAAACAGCAAGTGCGCAAAATTGCGATAATGAAATCCTCTGCTTTTCTTATCGCTACATTGATGGATCATATTCGTGGTTCTGCTGCCACTGGTGTGATTCACTTAGACCATGGATGGTTATTAAAAAAAAGTCTTCAATATAAGCGTGCTATATTTATGATTCATAAAATATCTGTTTTCTTGTGGAACTAATTTTAATAAATACAAACCTTAAAATAACGCGTGTTAAGGTATCAAAAGAAAATTATTTTAGATCTGGATTTTGGCTATAGATAACATCTCCCAGCTTTTATATTTCGTCAATCCTTTGATTTCCAAATTAATTTGATTTTCAAAAAGGGTTTCACCATAATTTTTTAGAAAATTTTTCAGCTATGAATGTCAATTGATTGGCAACCTTATGATGAATTTAACGGGTTATAGAATTTCAAATTTAAAACATTGTTAATCAATAATTTAAGAGCAAAATAAATTTTTTGTGGTTTTTGAATTTAACAAAAACACATTTCTCAGAAGTTTTTTACCTTGAAACTTTGCCAAAAATTTCAGTTAAAAGACTGACTGTTTTTTTTCAGCTGATATCCTAAAAAATCGACTTCAATTTGATTTCGAAAAAATAATTTTTGACCAGCGTGATAAAAATAAATATTTTCAAATATAATACGTAAATCTTCAATCTTCTGAAAATTTCACGAGGAAATAAACAAGGTATGACATTTTAAATTTCTAGCTTCTTTTTATTTGTCATTTTGTATAGAATATATTGTTAGTCTCTGATTTGTGTATTTATTTAATTAAGTGGACGTAGGGAAGCATTCCGAAAACATTATTAGGTATTTATCACTCTATCGTAATAAATATATGTGACCATTATTCTTTAACTTTACGATACTTGTAACAATTAATTAATCGCCGAAAAATACGCAAAGCTAATTAAGTTTAATGAGGTTTATTACATTGTTAACATTTATTATACAAATACATTTAAGATTTCAGTCTTAGTTTTTATGTATTGACGACTCTCTCTTGCAAAATTTAAAGTCCTCATCTTTTAGTAGGTGGATACAGCGATGGGCACCACAGTGGTGGTGGTGGTTACGGCGGGAACAGACACCTGAGTAGGCATCACCACCACGTTCCTGGACATCATCCTGCGGCATCGACGGCAAGGACGTCCCCAGGCCCAAGGACGGGCAACATAGAGAAGTCCTCGACGATGGTAGCACTCGCACTGGAGATTGATATTAACATCGGCCATAGTTTCTTGATTTCGTGGATCTTTCTTCTCCAGCTGTTTAGCTTTGAATGCTTTCCAATTTGCTCGTCACCCAGTATTTGTTCCCTTTATATACGTTCAGTTTGATTGCGATAAGGAAATTAAATGATTGATCAAGTTATCGTGATTCATTTATTCTGGAAAGGGTTAATTTTTGCTGTCGACTGACTCATTGAAGTCCTCTGCCTAAGGGGTTGCCCCTATTTAAATCGAAATGAATTATTCATTGTGGTGCAATTTAAAACTTTGCATCGTATCTTCGTAAAAGCATTAAAGAGATAGAACTTTTAAACTCAAACTCGTTTTGTAACACAAGTTGAAGCTTAATTTTTTTTTTCAATTATATATTTTTATTTATTAATTTTGCTAAATATTTAATATATAATTGAACTTCACATATTGTGTTTTTAAGCAAGAGTTGTTTTTTTCAGACTTTACATTTATTATAATTTATTATAATAATTATTCAATTAAAAGACTAAAATTTGCACCCACAAAAAAAAATATTTGTGATACATATTTTATGGCAGAATAAAACATTTATTAAAAGACCTTATTTTCCAAAAACCTGTTATTAAAAGTACAAATACAATTGAACAATTCATTTTATTAGAGTTTAAAATATTTATATGCACGGGCAAGACTAGTTGTACACTAATTGATAAGCTGCCTCTGGGCAAAGGAAATCAATCATATCGGTCAAGTCAGATAACAACCAAATACAAAAAAAAACAAATATGTGCACAGATAGAAGAGAAAGTGGAGAGAGACAAAAAGCCTTAACCATTATTTATGTCATTCGCCAGCAGTTAAATTTTCATATTTGCACTATTAGCATTGCGAATGAATGCTGGCGTATATGTAAATAAATTCAACATACGAAAATCCGTCACATAAACGATATTGAAATCAAATCATGTAGACTTCAATTAAAGTAAAGCGCATTTAAGTTGTTTAAGCTAATATTTTAAACGGCTTTACAATTAAAGACTTATTTTTCACAAAAAAACTAGCAAGATTTGAAATTATTTCTGAAGACAACGTTGCGTATGAGTTATATTTCTTGAACCCTTGTAAATTTTACTTTTAAAATTGAAATTAAAATATTGGGGCTCTAAAAGTTTCAACTATTTTTTATTTTTTTATTAAATTAATTAATTAAATTAAATGTTCCTTTAAATTCTTTTCCCTTTTTCTTGTCATAATTAAATCATTTGACAAATTTAGATTATTATTAACATATGTCAACTTTTTTTAATAAATTAATTATAATATTTTGGTTTAGTTTATTTATGTAGCTATATCAGATTCTAATCTAACTATTATCCTTAAAGACAAGATTCTCCAACCAAAAAGCGTACTTGAAAAGCGTGAACATTTATTTTTCTTTTTTTTTCTTTATTTTTAAGTACAAACGTATTTATAGATTATCTTAAGAAAAGGCACTTCTTTTTATTTTTTTAATAAATGTAAATGAATTAATAGGAATTAATAGCAACATATAAAATATATTTTTATTTCTGTCTTTATTTAGGCTAAAATCTAACATTAATCCAGTGAGTTTTAGGAGTTTTGAAGAATTTTTTTTTAAAGTTCACACTTTTCAACTGTCCTTCATGGGCCACGCCTACCACCTGGGCGGTGGGGGCTGCTGGACGATGATGATCTCCTCCCTGGGAGGAGGACGACGACCGCCGATGTTGAACTCGATGAAGGGTCGACTTGGGGGCACCACATCGACCTCGATGATGGGACGTGGTGGCGGTGGCTGATAGACGGCAGCGGGAGTGATGACCTCCACCCGTGGGGGTGGTGGTGGATAGCCACCCCCACCCAATCCAATCTCGATCACCGGCCGCGGAATCCTCGGTGGCACGATGTCCACCTCCACAATTGGCCTGCCACCATGATGGTGATGATGATGGTGATGGCGACGTTCGTCCTCGTAGTAAGGCATTTTTCAAGAAATTATCCAATTAGTTTGTGAAGTTGCTTCGGCTGACTCTTTTGTTGAACTGAATTGATGTCTTTACCTACCAAACTATTTAAAGCAACTTTTATCGCTAATTGGGGGGAATTTTTTCCAACTTCGTTATATATGTGTTTTCGCACAGTAGCTTAATTCACTATCTTGTCAGGTGGAATTAATGTCTTCTTCGATAAAAATGTTGATAAACACAAATTGATAAAAAACAAAATTCCAATAGAGTGTTTTTGCTTGAATTTCATTAGGCGAGTTCAAGGTTTTCTTGAATAACAGTGTATATTTTAAAGGGGAAAGACAAAAATTGGTATACGAAATATTAGTACTTAATGACTCATGCGAAATGGTCAAAGTTTAATTGCAGTTGGATATACTGCACTTTTATACTTAACGAAGAGGCAATCGACTAAACGATTTTGTACTAAAAAATATTAAAAAACAAGAAAGAAAGCAAACTTCGGCAAGCCGAAGTTCATATACTCTTGCAGCTATCGCAAGAATTAAATATTTTTGAAAACATTAAAATTATGATTTACTTGCGTATATGTTTAAAAACATTGAAGCTATGACGATTTGCAGCTTAATTATTTGATTGTTCTTTTATATATTTTTATTATTTGTATGGGAGCTATATGATATAGTCGTCCGATTTTGATGAAATTTAAACCGTAAATCTAAAATATTTAACCATTACTAAATGTCGAAGAACTAAACAAAAAATTAAAAAACAGAAAAGTTATAATTTTTTTTCATTTATTTTTCCGATTGTTCCTATGGGAGCTATATGCTATAGTCGTCCGATTTTGATGAAATTTTTACCATAATTCTGAAATATTTAACCATTGCTTTATGTCGAAGAACAAAACAAAAAATTAAAAAAAAATAATTTTTTTTCAATTATTTTTCCGATTGTTCCTATGGGGGCTATATGCTATAGTCGTCCGATTTTGATGAAATTTAAACCATAATTCTGAAATATATAACCATTGCTATATGTGGAAGAACTAAACAAAAAATTAAAAAACAGAAAAGTTATAATTTTTTTTCATTTATTTCTCCGATTGTTCCTATGGGAGCTATATGCTATAGTCGTCCGATCCGGCTCGTTCCGACTTATATACTACCTGCAATAGAAAGACAACTTTTGGGAAAGTTTCATGCAGATAGCTTTAAAACTGAGAGACTAGTTTGCATATAAACGGACGGACAGACGGACAGACGGACGGACAGACGGACAGACGGACATGGCTAGATCGACTCGCCTAGTGATGCTGATCAAGAATATATATACTTTATAGGGTCGGAGATGTCTCCTTCACTGCGTTGCAAACTTCTGACTGAAATTATAATACCCTCTGCAAGGGTATAATGAGAATACTGTTGATAATATTTTCCATCACCGGTTTTGGCTACTTTTCTTTGATTATTATTTATAGCATGGTACCGTTTTGGTATCAATTGTCTTTCATATCAGCAGAACCCATTATCTATGATATTGTACCATTTGGTGTTGTCATTTCAAGAACTTAAGATTAAGACAAAGAGATATTTGTATATGTTTGTTTGTTATCTATCGCTTGGTTACACTTTATTGATAATACATTTTATTTTGTTATTGAACTTGGAACATTTCCGGTATGAAGCCGTTTTGTTTATAATAATACATTTTATTTGTTATTAAACTTGGAACATTTCCGCTTATACCTCCTGCTGTCCACCATCTTTTACCACTGTTGATATGGTGGATTGTTGTAGGGCTGCTGCTGCTGATACTGGTACTGCTGATATTCGTAGGCCTGCTGTTGGGGATAGTATCCATATTGTTGCGGCATTATCACCTGAGTTCCGGGCATATAGGTGGCCGCCGGGGTGGTCATGTAGACAATCTCGGCGGGCCGAGGCGGAGGCGGCGGCGGATAGTATGCGCCACCCCAACCGGGAACCACATCAATTTCGATATTTGGACGACCATGGTGATGGCGAGCAGGATAGCCGCATGGATCTTCATAGTACCGCATAGTTGATTATTTAGCCAGTAAAGGTAATCAACCGACCCAACTTCACCACCCAGCAACACGTTGAACACTGGAAACCCCGAAACAATACAAAACTTTTGCAGTCGAACCAAACTGGAAGTTCGTTCGGGGGTTCCATCAATCAGGTTTTATGGGTATTATTCCAGTGGTTAGAGGCAAAAGATAAGGTGTGCCTTAGTCACTCGACAAGTTATGATAACAATGACCGTACGGACAGTTGTGCATTTACAAGTGATCGGGTTTCGGCTTTTTTTCTCGCACTATTTATTGTTTACCATATTAACTGATTGCAGCTTATCGCAGGGTAACATGTTCTTATCTCTCAGATAAACGAAAATTTGCTGAAAAAGCGGAAAATGCAGGCCGAAAAATTTGGGACAAGTTCAGATAGACATTAAAAAAAAACAAAAACAATAATAGTTGAGCTCTAAATAAAACAGGTGTTCTGATAAGGAAAGCTGTAGATGAAGTGGTTTATATTTTGGCAAGTGTGGATTAAAGTTTTTCGTTAAAAGTGAATGGTTTTCACAAATAGAAGCTAGAAAGCTAGTTAAATAATAAAAAAAAATAATAATATAAAACAATGCGTTCAAGAAAACATGCCAGCACATTAGGTTTGAATACAACTGCGGTCAAAATAATAGTAGTTGTAAACAAACATGATCTGTAAAGCATAGGACAACTTTTACTTTAATTAAGCATATTGCTTATTTACCAATAAACATTAGTCTTTGATGTTCCATACGTTAATAAACTTATATTAATTTGATTTGATTTAATACTTTTATTTTGACCTGCAAGTGCTTATAGTATTAGCTTCCTACAATTACATTTTTTTCAACTGTTTTTTTATGTCTTTTCCGTAAGCTAAAACACTACTATTATTTTGACCGCAACTGCAAATACTTTATTGGTGATATTACTAGTTTATTAATGCTATCTAAAATAAATTCATCATGGCTGATTTTCAGATCCCCAGATTCCTTCTCAATATTGTGGGTTGTGGTAGTGGCTGCTACCGGGAGGCGGTGGTGGTGGATACTGGTAGTAGGGCGGTGGTGGCGCCTGCTGCACCACCATAACTGGCGGTGGGGGTGGTGGTGGCTGCTGCACCACCACAACTTGGGGTTGTGGGCGGTGGTGGCGACGCGGCCATGGTGGTGCGATCTGCACCTTAATCACGGGACCACGGCGATGTGGTGGTGGTCCTCCACAATGATCGTGTGGTGGTGGCATCTCGGGTTAATTTAATTTTCCAATCAAAGGATTCTAGGAGCTCCAATTATGTCGACTTATCGCTGCTAACTGAACTAACTGAATGCGCAACTCATGGGTTGGACTAAGTTATCAAAGTGTTAAATATCAGCTCTCGCAACAAAAAGCTTCACGAAAATTACTCATACGCAGTGGGTGCTCTTAGTTACTTTGAGAGAATTTATGGTACACGGGGATTAACCATTGAAATTATCGATACGTGAGCACAACTTTCGATAGATAACAGTTTAACTTTATTTTCTCTTTGACAAAGCTTTTTATTGCCAAAAACGTGTCAATAACTTTGTAAGCTACGGCATAGGGAACATTTACTTTGATGAGTCATTGTCTTTGGGGTTACTTAAAAAATATATTAAAATATTTATCAGGAATTGGTCAAGTCTATGCTGATGAATCATTGATTTAAGGGATTTTCTTTCTTTTACTAAAGCTTTTTAATAACATTGTGAAATTATTCTAAAATTATTTATTTTTAGAAATTCTATTAAAATTTATAAAAACTAATTCAGTTGGTGTTAAAATAAAGGACAAAAAGAAAGTTTAGTTGTGAATTTATCTTCATTTCTAACTAGACTATGTAAAAATACAAAAACTAATATATTCTATGTTGCTTTTTATAATATTGCAAACACTGAATAACACAAATTAGGCTTAGGAAAATGTTGTCTAACCAGTTAATTCCCTCAAATATTTATCCAATTTTTAGCACAAAAAATTGAAAAAGAACAACTTTAAATATTTTCTTTGGGTAGTAAATATTTTACAAACATTTGCGCGTCTATTATGCAAAGTTTGTAAACACGATTTTGCCTCGAGGGCAGATATTAAGTGCATGCCAACGAAAAAACATGATAATTCCTGCCGGTCAATCAAAACGCCTCACTTGAGCAAATAAATGCGGAATTTACGATTTCTTAAACAAGACTGCGGGCCTTTTTTATTTTCTTTTGTTAATTGAGTCGTTCGTGCTGCATTTTGGTTTATCATTCCGATCAAAGTTCAGGGGGTTGCGGGGGGTTTAACCATGGGGTTAAGAGTGATGTACTTCTACGCCTAAAAAGTTAAACATGCACAAAGTGGTAACGAGTTTGGGGCAAAGTTTTTCAACTGCCGCAAAAGAAGGAAATGAGTGCCGCATAACTCGCAACATATCGACTGAAATTTGTGGGTGGGGAGTGCTTGAGGGGGCGTGGCACGCCGCTTGACAGCGCGTATCCAATGTAATGATGCCACTCCTTTCAGTTATTATACCCTTTTAAAAAGGAATGTCAAATGGGTTTTTATTATGTTGATTTGTTTGATTTATATATATTTATATATTCACACAAATTTTGATTGTTACGCTTTAATTTATCTGATAAAAAGAATTTACTTTGTAAACTGATAAAAATAAATACTATTATGTTTTATAATATATTAGTAACTGAATACTGTTTCATATTTAATTCAAAAATAAATATAATGATAATTGAATTGCATGATTTAAAATTAAAATATTAAAGCTTGAAATCCATTATATAAAAGCTTAAAATATTTAAGCTTAGTATGAAATATTTAGACTTACAACATTTTTTTAGCACTCTGATAAATAAGCAACTTTTATAGGTAGAAGAAAAGAAATGGAAAAACGTTAATTTTTAAGCCAGATTTCAAAACTATTTGGCATTATTCACAAAGAGTATAAAATGCCTCGCGTTTCCAACATAAAATTTGCACATGTATTTTTTACCTCTTCTCCTGCTGCTCCTTATGCATATTTTAGGAAATGAATTGCAAGCGAATCCTGCGTCCTGCGTCCTGGCAAGATAAAATGTCTCCGTCTTCGAGTCAAGACGGCATCAGAAAATCAGAAAATTGGGGTTTGGAATCGGGCGCTGAATCTGAAACTGAGGCAAAGGCAGAGACGCCATCGAATCGATAACTGTCAAAAAATAAAGCCGGCAAGCAACATGCAAGACAGCCGTAAAGGGGCGTGGCAAAAAGGAAGGTGATGGTGGTTTTTAGCGGTGGCGGTAGCGGCGGCATCGCGCAATTTAAATATTTATGGCGCTGCGCTTGGTGCACAAGAAACGGAACCAGGCACACGGCGTAGCCAAAAAACCGTGACCGTAACCGTAAACCTAACCGAGAACGCAAGAACAGCAGCTATCCGAAATTTCGCAACCCGTGAACTTAAAGTGAGAAAAATGTACAAAAAGTATCGAAAACTACTTTGAAATCATGGGTAACAAAGTCACAAAAAAATTAATTACAAGCAAGCGAGTTGTTTAATTTTAACAATGATAAATGACTTTTTCAACTAAGCATGATTTTCTTACGAAAATAAATATTTATTATGGGGTATTTATATTTTTAAGAATGAATATGTGTTGAAATGTATTTTCAAGTTAACAAAAATAAAAAAAATTAGTTGCAAATAATAATTTTTAAAGCATTAGTCACAAATATAAAATAAAATAATCGTTTAAATAAAACTGTGATAAAAATTTAAAAATATATATTAGCTGGCATGTTTATTTGTTTAAGTAAGTATTGAGTTGTAATTTCAAGCTCACAAAGCTTAAATATAAGCTACTAATTTTTTTAGTGCAGCACCACCTCCTTTACGAGGCCACCAACTCAAGCATCTTCAGTGGCGGCGTCAGAAAACGCATTTCCTGCTCATGTCATGACATGCAAGCGTGGCTGGGAAAACGCGTAACCAGAGATGGCGGGAAAATCGGGGGAAAGTTGGAAAACCGGGCGGTGCAGAAATGGGTTACCCAAAAAGGAATCATTGCTTTTGTCGACATGTCATGGCAATACTCGTATCTGGAAAGTGTTATTTTTTGGGTTGGGGGTGGGCTGAACAGTGTTCTGAACCTTTTTTGGAGAACATTTTATTGAGCTACAGTTTTAAGGCATTGGCTGTGAGTTTATGATTGATAGAGTTATAAAACTGAAGTCGCGAAGCCAAAAATCTGCGGCAGGTGAGAGATGGCTTGGCAGTTTCTGGTAAAGTCTTAGAAGGTGTTGCCTACCACGACAAAATTTCAATATATTTTTACATGTTAGAAACATTTTAACTCAGTTGATAAATACTTTATAACGTTAAAACCATTATTTTCGTTGTGAATAACGATTTTTTATGGGTATTCTTTACAAATTATATTTATTTCAATGTCATTTGTTTTAAATATATTTTGTAACTTATTTGTAAAATAACAGTTTTATATGTATTTAACATTTATGAGCTCTAGCTTAACTTTAGTTATGTCAAATTTTTGGTACAATTTGAATTTATACTTACCACAAGAATTTGGAACTCCATTTTCTAGAAAGTCTTATTTTTTATTATGATATTTTTTTTGAAACAAGAAAAAAACAAGGTATTTTTTGATTTATGTCGACGCTTTTGCTTTACAGTTTTAAATGCAATGCGTTTTATTATGCAATTTTTTTTGAAACAACATAAAACAAAATAATGTTCGAGTTATGACGACGCCTTTTTATTTTACAGTTTCAGAAGCACTGCTTCCAGCATTCTTGTCAACTTTTAATTGCAAACTCGTATAGTCTTACAGCCTTTGGAGTGCAAGAAGCACTGCCACTCCTACTTCTTCCCGCCCCACAAGGCCATTAAGGAACTTGTTAATTTGCATTTTCCATTTCCATTTGCATGAAATTTGTTTCTGTTCGCCCGGCGCAAAAATTAACCGAAAGAAACAAAACTGATGCGAAAGATGAAGAGAGTGAAAACTTGTGCCCATAATGAGCTGCCTGCGGTTTGCACCCCCTTAACCCCAGAAATCCGCACACATTTATATGTGTCCCTTTTGGCCCTTTTGACACTCTTGGCAATTTCCGGCTTTTACTTTCTTGTGACGCTTTATAATTGGTTTTCACTTGTTGTCGCAAACACAACAAATGGTAACAAATGCTTACAAATTACATAAATGCTTTTCCATGTCTCGATAAACACGCCCCCTAAAAATATTGGTTTAAGGAAGGCATCCTCCCGCAAATCGGAAGAATAAAAAGTTGAACGCAAAATGTTTGGCAAATATTTTGTGACTTTGTAACGTAACACGCAGTGACCAACTCCAGGCCACGCCCCTACTTGGGGTTTTCCCCGCCCCCCATTTTTGGCCAGGCAACCAAGTGGAAAAAGCATCGTCTGTCCACTCGAGTGTGCAATTAGGTGAAAATAAGTGGTTCAACAAACGCCTCCGAGTATGCAATCATTTAAATTTCACTTCATTTGTCCTTTTCATGATTTGCCCACCAATCGGCAACTTGTTTTACACTGAAAATATTTTTAAAGCCTTGAAAATTTGAATATCAAAATAGATTAATAAGCAAAAAGCGAAAGAGAAGTAAAATAACAATACAATTAACATGGTTTTTAAACAGAAAGCTTTAATAAAAAAATAATTATTTTCAAAAGGGATTTAAAAAGTATTTTATCACAAGTTTTTCAAAATTGTATACGCCTTTATAAAGAAAACTTAAATTATATAAAGGTATAATTATCTTGCAATTGATAAAAACTAAATCAAAATGTTATTAAATTGTCAAGAACTTTACTATTTTTCTCAGTGGCCATATTTCCTGTGCCCATTTCTCCCCTTGTGAAATTACAGCACCCAAACGAAATTATTTTGATTTATATGCAGGCAGGCACCTGCTCATTCAAGTTCCCTGCTTTCCTTTTTTGTGCCCAGATATTCTCCCGCCCTGGGATTTGTCTAAACTAAACGCTTTGATTTGCGAAACTCCCCGAAACGCCAGCCAACTGCCATTCGTTTCCCGGATGTCAACAAAAACGGAATTTGAAATGCAAATTTAATTTGAGACAAGACGAGTCGCGACTCAAGACCTCCTCAAGACCAGTGGTTCCTCGCTTTAATTGCCCCAATGAAAGGGACGAAGGTCCTGCTGGGAAAATGGATGTGGATGGCGGGGATGTGCGAAAATTGAGGAAAACTCTGAGGAGCTGACAGCTAAGCGCCTGCTTTGCCTGTTAATTTTGCGCCAAATCAGCAACAACTTTGATTTCGATTTTATGCCATGTGC